TGAATTTTTTTTAAAAATTCAAAGGCTATAATCTCTTGTATTCCAAAGATAAAATAATAATAATAATAATAATAAATAAATATACGATAGAAAGATATTATAATATCTATTTTTAAATACAATAAATATGTGGAATATGGAATCAAGACTAAAATTCAAGAAAAATATTATTAAGACTAAAGATGGCATTAATATTGCTTTTCTATATACTAACCCCAAAAAAGGCTTAATGGAAGCCTTGATGTTTTTTAGCTTTAATTATTTTATGTATCATGACAGTGGCAATGAAGTTTTATTTTTATTTTTTGTTAACTTGCAGCAAAGAATTGTATATTTTTTGGGATATAAAGGTTCAATATGAGACCATGTGAGTTGATTGTTTTATAATTAATAATCATAAAGATATTAACTTTTATATATAATTACATTACTTTAACAACATGAAGACTATCAACAAGAGGTTCAATCATGAATACGATGTAATTATTGAATATTTTGGTTTAGATGTTACACCAACTTCGAAGTTGTAAAATAAATGTCACATAAAATTATAACTATATATTTATGCAATTGATACTTTGGAATTGTCTCTTATGACTTAATAAATTTTATTTGGATTTTCCAAATGTTCTTCTTCAACATTAAATTTTTAATCTCATATAACAAAAGTTTATTTTTGTTAGCAGTCTAATTGGTCTTTGGTGCTTAGATTTTTGCAATTTAGACATATTGCAATAAATGAAAAAAACTTATCATGTTTATTTGGATCATAATTATTTAAAAAATCTTAATTTAAGTTTGAGATATTAAAATATAAGTAAGTAAAGTAAAGGTTTTTCTACATTTTGAGATTTACCCTATTTTAATTTGAGCTCTAACCAATGTACTTCTGAGGTGTAAGTAGTCCTTTAGAACATAACTATAAGATTATATAATTGAAATATATATCAATTAATAACTTAAAGAAGTATGTTATGAGGCAATGTTCATGATTTCTTTGGTGATCTATTATATTCTTCTTGCATCTATATTTATTTTCAAATCATCAAAAGTTATTTAAATCTATTGTAAATTTTATTTTTATAAAAAAAACAAGTAGCAATATTAATCTTAGCGTAGTAAATATAAGAAAACTTTTGAAATAAGTGTGTCATCTTTGTTGTTGCAAAATTTTTCAGTACTAAGGTTTTATCCAATAATTTGGTGAGAGAAGCCAATTCCATTCTTTTCTAGAGACTCATAATTTCATCTTTACTATGGCCTAACTTATATTTTCTTGTATTAAAACAAAACTTTGCTAATTAATTATATGTTAGATTGGTGTCTAACTTCTAATTTTGTATAGATTAAATTAATTTTTAGTGCTCTATTAAACTTTCTAAAAGATTAATTAAATTATATATTTTTAATAAAATGTTTTTAATTAAATTATTTTTATATGAGCAAGTCATATAAAAGGTCTTAACAATTCTTATAATTTGTAGATTGTAACATGATGTAACCAATTGTTTGCACCTATTTTATCTAAATTTTTTAACTATATGTGAGATTTATATTCAAGATGTAGCATTGCATTTCATATGGTCTATAAAATATTTTTTTATTCTAATCATAAATAAAAACTTATAAACTTTAGAGTTATCTTTAAAAATATCTTAGCCACTACTGTAATTAAATATGATATATACTAAAATCAATTTAGGTTAAGATAGACATAAACTAAATCTCTTATGTAATTAAATTTTAAGATTTTATAATTTTATTTTTACACTGTACATGATATAAAACATGTGTTTTTAAACAAAATAACATCTAATACTTTCAATTTTTATCTCAAATAAGTAATTTTTAAAATAAAATTATCTAAGGGATTTTTAAAAATACTTGGTTCTTTTAGTTATATGCACATAAAAATTTATATGCTATTAGGCTAAAATTGTTGAAATTTCAATCTTTACACACAACCAAAAGTCAACTATTTAATTTAAAATCATTATTCTATTACTTAGATTAAAAATACAAATTATTGTAACTATTAGTATCATTTTTTCCTACATAGTATTTTTTTACAAGTATATATATGTATATATATATATATATATATATATACATATATAATATGATGTGTACTTTTACAAAATAAATAATTATTTCATGTATTTAATTTTATAAATTTGACACACATTAAATTAGAATACAAACTAACATTAAAAAGAAGATAAAATAATTATATATATATATATATATATATATATATATATATGATTCTAGTTAATTCTATGCACACATGTATAAACTCTAAATATCCATTGTAGTTTGAATGCAATTTATTTTTAAACATGACGTTGTACTCAGAATCAAAAAAAATCTTCAATAATAAAAGTACATACTTTAGCTGTTCTTATTATTAATTTTGATTTTTAACAAAGAATGAAGAATTTAATTTTTTAATATCATTTATTTTTCCTAAAATATAGTAAATGAAACATGAGCATACATTTGTTACCAATAGGTCCATTTGTGCAATTAGGAAAAAAGTGAAACCCTAATATATATATATATATATATATATATATATACATATCATTAAAAGAAATATAATAGCCATCAATATATTTAACATTTTTTATTAAAAAAATATATTTAGTAATTTGATATAAATTTCTTTAATATATATTTTGATAATTATATATATACATACATAAAACAAAAAATTAACATATTATTTTAAAAAAAATTTAAAATATATATTTTTATTAAATTTAAAAACACTAGACATGATTTATTAAGACTTGATGAAATTTGAGATATTAAGAAATATCAATCTACATTCTTAAACAAACCTAAGGCGATATTTAAAACTTTGTATGTTATGATTCTAATATTAAGTTGTTGAAGAGATTTCTTCTTGTATTTTTTATTATGCATGAATGTCAAATTTCTCGAAACATTACAAAAAAAGTTTTGTCACTTGTGCATTGCATTATTTATATTAACTTAATAAGTTTGATATAGTAAAGATCAACTTTACATAAATGGTTTTTTAAGTTTTTTTTAATAAAATCTATTTTTAGATGTATGTATGGATGTGAAATTTAGATGGTCAATAATACAATCAATAAAAAAAAAAATTATAGCAAAAATAATAAATTATTTATATTGTATCGTAAATTTTTAAAAAATAAAATTATTTAATTGATGCAAATTTTCAATGAGTTATTTTTAAATTCTTATATTGTTATATATATTACAAAAAAGTTATTGCCAAAACACTAAGAAAATTTTAACCCAATGATAAAAATATCATAACTCAAATTTTATTGGAGATTATTATTGACATTACACTAATTATTATAATTCATCACTCTCTAAATTATTTGTTGCAAGAAAGTATCTTCTTATAAGTGTATTAAAATTTTACAAGAAACGAAGTTTTAGTAATGTTGATCACACATCTTTATCTGGCTATCTTATTACTTTAAGAACCATCACTGATTTTTTGTAATATTTTTTTATATTTTTGGTATTATATTAAACTTTAGCCTATAGATTCTAACCTAAATATATCATCATAATACCATCGATCTATTCAATTGCATTATTTCAGATTTTTCAGAAGAAGATTATCTTATGATTTAATATTTGTTTTAGCATCTAATTTATCAATTAAAACATTAATATCTTATTTTAATAAAGGAAGAAAAAAGAAGAAAAATAAAATTTAAAAAATTATACTAAAAATTCTTTAAAACAATAAAAAAATTTAAAAAACAATAATCAAATTTATTTTTATATGAATATATATATATATATATATATATATAAAATATATAATATAAAAAACTAAAAATGATTATTTTCAATATTATATATTTACATAACAACATATCTAGAAAGATCTAGTATTTCTTTACCAAGCTTTTAGTAATCAATTTCATAAACTATTATATAAAGATTATCATGAAGTTATTTTTATAAGACATATCAATTAAAATAAAGTAAGTTTTTTTTACAGAAACCGTGTGTATATTTATAAATATTTTTTTTAAATAATGAAAAATATAAAAAATCGTTGTAAATCATATCAATATCACTTTAAAATGTTTTAAATTTTTTTAAAAAATTATACTCTATACAAAACTACAAATATTTATTATTTGTTTAGCATCAATAGCTTTAACAAACTAGAATCTCTTATTTGATAATTTTAAAAACATCATACATGTCATAATTCAATAATCATCTTTAAACTCGTTTTATCATCTTTAAACTTGTTTAAAATATTAGATTTCTTGTTTTATACAATAAACTAAATCTAATTAAAATCATCAAAGAACTTCCATAATTTTTATTAGTAGATAGCAAAAAAAGAAAATTGATAGACTTAAAATTCATAGAAAAATAGAAGGCCAATGACATAATCTCAACATGAAATCCACTTAGTGAAAAATTCATCTAACTCAGAAGAAAAGAGGCAAATAGAACATGATTTGTGACGAACTTCAAAGCAGGAAAAATCACACAAAGCAGCCTTTAGTCTTGTCCTAACTTCAAAACTAGTGACACAGAAATATTTATCTTTTGACAAGTTCAAATCTACTTCATCCAAGGACATCAATAATATCTTATTCTATGTCCTCATAATCTGAGCACGATGTCTGAAGAGATGAACTACATCTCATTTTCCTGCTTTGATGGCCACAATGACAAAATCACCTGCCCATCATTTTAGGGTTGTTTTCTGCTGTGACAACCAAGTGTCGTCCAAGGTCTGGGTTAGCAACTCCAAAAGAGGTGGTGTTGCGGTGGCGCGAGGATGGTGAAGAAGAAGAAGATATCTCAGTCCTTGCTTTGGGAACCCACCAAAATGGAACCAAGTGGATCTATGTCATGGATCTTCGCGCCTCCATCTCCACCTGTCGTCGCACTGCGCAGCCAGCTTGATGCCACTTGGCTCGCTTGGCCCTTCTCCCTTCTCTGTTTGCTTCATATCTTCTTTGTGATTGTCATCACTCCCTGTTTTGTAGTGTTGCCTATTTTCTTCTCAAAGCTGGACACAATCAGAGCTCTTTTCATAGTGTGGTGTAATCTGTTGAAGTGAGAGTTTGAAGACAGTTGGAAAGTTTGGTTCATTCTCTGAGCAGTTTGCTGCAGCAAGATGGGTGAGTTCCTTTTGGTTCTGTATTTGCAGCTGTCTTGTAGACTGATCAGGTGTTTTTTTGTGTGCGTGTGTGGGCTTTGTGCTGTGGATGGGTGTCGGTGGCATGAAAGTTGTGATGGAGTTTTTGGTTTCGTGATGCTCTTGGGTCGGTGTTGATATGATTGGGTTCGGTGTGTAGATCCTGCTCAAGGGCAGACGGAAGGGAAGTCGTTGACGTCGAAATTGAAGGCGAAGGTGAGGGGCGTGAAGAAAGTTAAAAACCACTTGCCCGGACGGCACAGGCGTGACACCGAAAATCCACAAGGAGATGTCGCCGTCCACGATGATGATGATGATAGCTCTGGCTCCAGCTCTGATGCGTCTCCCAGAGTTAGTACATCTCATTCTCTACCTCTCTCTATCTCTCCCTCAACTTTCTACCCTTTTTAATTCTTGCATTCCGTATGTTCTGCGTCTTGACGCATAGATTTGGCAGAACTTGAAGTCGACATTGGCTGAGACATTAGCGTTGTATACTTATTTTTCTTACATACCTTGTTTGGATCACGGCAGAAACCCGGTCCGGAGACGGGATACAACGTCGGTCAATCCACACCTTTTACAACAGTGAAGACCACTCCACTGAAATCAGACCACTCCGCCAAGTCGCAGGATAGGAGATCTCCGCCTAGGTCGCACAACCGCGACTACGAATCGAAGCTTTCTAATGACAATTCGGGATATCGAGCATCCGATGGCCCCCCAAGCTCAATGACCCCCTCTGTGGAGGAAAAATTCCAGTATTTGGGTGTTGGAGACCGATCTAGACCTGCAAACTATCCGAATGATCACTCTTATCAGATTGGACAACATTACCCCACCACGGCAACAGAGGTACGATCGCGACTGTATAGTAGAACATAATCGTTGAATGGTGCAATGGTGCAATTGTCCATTTTCTTTGGATGTACTGAAGTAATGGTTTCATTCTTATTGCCGCTTTACAGGGCGTGCCGAAGATTGGGTACAGTGAGCATGACACCAAGCCCCCTGGATTGTTGGCACGCGTGCAAGATACAGTTGGAGGGGTCGCCGCGGCAGTGGGGTCACAAGTGGGCTACTATAATGAAGTAGATGCTACCCCTCATGAGCAGCCATCAACGGATCCAAATGCACCGTCGGTGTTGGACAAGGCGAAACACACACTCGGATTGGCCAAGCCAAGTGACCCAAACTCGCCGACAGTGATGGAGAAGGCGAAGCACACACTCGGAATGGATAAGCCTAGCGATCCGAACGCGCCTACAGTGATGGAGAAGACGAAGGCTCTTTTAGGAATGGGTAAGCCTGGAGATCGAGATGCGCAGACTATAATGTAGAAGTCTTGGGAGTTGAGAATGAAAATTGGAATGAAAAATAACCCCAATTTACGCAGGAGACTTGAGATTATTCACTCTTGAGTGTTATCATGTGGAAATGTAGATTATGGCAGTGTAGAAAGGAGGATGCGAACTACTTCTGCATTAGACTAGAAATCCTCGATACAATTGGACCTCAACCTTATGGGAAATGTGAAATAATGCAAAGTGATGTAAATGGCATGTATATTCAGGAAATCGTAGTTCGGAGCTCAGAGACGTTGGAAGCTTATCATTTACGCAAATGTATGACGAGTCTTACAATATCTTTGATGAATTCTGAGTTTCATTGGAATGTGATACATGATAGTTTTTCCAACAGCCGGTATTCAATCTGGGATAAATTGGTTGAGGTACGCATTGTAGCTCTCCTTTCACTCACAATTCTGAGAAAATTAACGATTGGTGAAGTTCCCCAATATCGACTAATAGGTCTTTCTTTGGTTGTACCGCGTCTGTAGAAGTCATAATTCTTTATGAAAAAGTTTTTCATAAAAATATTTATGAACATTTGATTTTGTATCCTTACTCATAACACATAATTACTTCACGTAAAATAAAAAGCTACATGCTAAGTACCTCACTGCGTAATACAGATTTTACACACTGCTCACACAGGCAACTTATGTTTTAATCAGGTTGGCTCTACGTAGCTAAAGCAAATGGTGTATATAACATGTATTATTGATTAATGTTCGCCTGCTCAAGGCCTATTCCATTTGTAGAATTATTAATCAGCAAGCTAACATTAATCAATAATTATTCCATTTGTAGAAATTATAAAAGCTGAAATAAGTGGTAGGTTATTGAAATCATACTTAACAATTAAAATTTATTTTATTTTGGCCCTGTATAGTTTTTGAATGATTCAATGCTTGAAACGCTGATAGGCTAGGGCGTTGGGTTAAGTATTACTGAGATACAGAGCAGTGTTGAGAGGATAAGAGTCAAGATCGGAGAGAAATCTCATATACAAAAGCCAACGGCTGGTATTGTACATGAACCAACAGGAGACAAGACCTCAAAACTACCTAATAACCGCATGAGATAGGACCAGTAAACGGCTTAGTTGGGCCTGGCGACCAAGAAACCGCAGATCTGGACCTGCTTGACATTGTCGAAGCCCAACACGCGCACGAAGCAGCCGGGGAAGGTCTTCTTGCACTCCTCAATCTCCCTCAACACCTGGGCAGAGTCATTGCACCCGAACATGGGCAGCTTCCACATGGTCCAGTAGCGACCATCGTAGTATCCGGGGGATGAGTTGTTGGTGCGGGACACACCGTTGGCGTTCTGTACCAAAACAACATACGAATCAGAAGCAGCCTAAAAGCAGACTTACCCAATTACTCAAAAACCAATTCTCATAATAAACAACCGTCACAGCCTAGCGCACCGGTGCGGCATTGCATGCAAGTCCCACAAAGGCAAAGAAACACCATCGCACAACATCCAACGTCGTCAAGCCACCCGCTACCAACAACACGACGAAGAGTTTCCCAAAAAGCTTACCACGTCGAACTCGAGGCAGGGGATGAGCTTCTGCTGGATCATGTACTCCACCTGCTTGGCGATGGCGTCATCAGACAGTGGGGGCAAGTAGGAGAAGGTCTCGAACTTGGTCATGCCGATGGGGTTCCACACCTGCATGCACTGCACGCGGCTACCATTCTGGACCGAGCTCAAGGTTTGGGCCTTGCTGGAGAACAAGGTGTTGCTCTTGAGGCCAGAGAAGGCCTTGACGGAGGAGGACTCCGAGGTGGACACAGCCGAGGAGGCAGCAGCGAAGGCAGTGGGTGCCACCACGGTGGTAGCGGCAACGATAGATGCCATGGCAACAGGAGGATTGCAGGCAACAACAACAACACAGTGCAGATGAGGAAACAAACTAGCGAGTAAAGGGAGATGGGTTTACTGCAGAGATCAAAGTGGGAGGGAATTATGTAGGAAGTGGGTGTTGGATTGCGGAGATGGCTATGGAATCAAGCATGGCCACAGGCTGCTGCAGGGGCTGGGGGGCGTCACCTGATCCATGGCTCCGGTGGAGCGACAGAGATCGGCTCGCGGTGGCGGAGCGTTGTGAGGCTGTGAGATTACCGCCACCGTAAAAACAAAAACCAATATAAAAAAATCAAAAAAAAGTTCATCGACTTTTCGCCAATCCAGGTCTAATTTTTCAATGGAGTGACTTTGCTTTATTGGGTCCCTCTCTCCCTTTCGCCTTTTCCTTGATACTTTTCAGATCGAATGGGATAAAAAGATTTGGCTTTTGTGTGATTTTTCTTTTTGTTATGATTTTTTCAACAGACTTCAGTGTTCATGGGTGCTTATTGGAAAAGTAAGGCTTTTGGGGAACCAATTAGTTTTGTGGATTTATTTTATTTTTCACTTTGGATGAAGTGTTGTTTGTACATGATGTTTTGAAATTTCTGCAAAAATGTATGTGGATGGTAGTGATTATTTATTTCATTCAATAGAGTTTGAATTTTCTGTGAATTATCAAATGTAAATTTATGACCAGTAATGTGCTTTCTGGTTTCATTCGAAGTATTTCATTTATTTGGTTATTACTAAAATTATTTTTTGATTTTTGAGCACAAAATAAATGCAGAACTTTAATTGTAATTGGTTTCACTTCCTGATGAAATAGTTTGGATGAATTCGTGTGTTTTCATTTATTTTATCATTCATTTTATAAATTGCCAATCAATTTTTTCTCTAATTTACAACAATCAAGTTCACAAAAGATCAAGAGTTGTTTTTATTTATTTTTTTATTTATTTATGTAGGCTCTGAAATACGCTCGATTATAAAATCAAATCAAAAGATGAATAATAAATCATTTCATTTTTGGATGTTTTTAATTCTAATTTATTATATTTCAACTTATCGAGCTTTTACAGAACGTTATCATATACTCATGCTTAGCACCTACAACACCGAGCGAAAATCATTTGCGGCAACTTACACAAATTGCAGCAACCTGTTGTTATTGGCCTAGATTTGTAGTAACGAACTGATCACTACCCATTGTTGCAATTCAAAAACTACTATCAATTGTTCATTTAATCAACGCTAATTTATGTGCAACCTGCATGTATTTCATGCACACTGGTGCATACAGAAACACAACACAAATACATGATTTCTAATGCACCCAGATCAACTTCCTAACCACCAAATCTTTTAAACCTCACTTTTTCATTTTTTTTAATTTATTTTTTGTTTTAAGGACGACCACAGCCGATCTACTTCCTATTGTGGATGCTCTGAAAGTTCTCAATATTACCTGAATGTTGGTTACAAAAAGGTTTCTGAAATCCTTTGTCTCAACTTATGGGTACCAGGGACTTCATGCCACCAGTCTATACAGCAAATAACGGATTTAACCAAGGGATGTTAGTGGCTGGATTCCTAATGCACATTAAGCTAACTAACTAACTTGCAGTTGGGTAAACGTAACCTACCCCACTAGGTTATGCTGAGCAAAGCTTGAAAATGTTCTCCTGAAACACCAGGAAATGGTGTTTACCAAATTGAGTCTCAACCTTGAAGTCCTTCACTTGGGCCAGGCATGTACTCTTCCTCCTCCTCTGCATTATCATCCTCATCTGATGCTTCGGCAGGTGTTGCGGCCTGTTGCTCTTCTGTAGGATCTGTATCGTCCATTTTCGGAGCTGACTTGACCACAAGCTTTCCTCTGTGCTTTTCGATCTCCTTTGTGCACGCATTTAAGGCATTTTCTAACACAGTAATGCCAAGTTCCTGGCGAACACAATGAACGGGTTAAGCCTCGAGTGTGACATATTACATCGTTTGAATCCTCTAACTCTCCAGAATGAGTACTCTAAAATGTATTTGTCTGTGCTCAAATTGGGAAAACTGGCCACGTACTGCAAATTGGATGTAACGAAACTGAAAGTCTATATCAGAACGAAGTGGTGAACAAGCATAACTGCGAGTGTGTACTCGTTAACAAGACAACCATTCAAAATGATCAAACAAAGAAAAAAGAAAAAATAATTTTTTAAAACCCTTCTGACCTTATTAAGAGTCTGAGTGGTGAGAACATATAGCGGAGGTGCGACAAGCTTTATCTTCACAGGGCACTCCTCAGTTCCAGCAGCCTCAGCCTTTCTCATTGCAGACTGAAACAACAAGCCGCTCAGAAATGAGATTATAAAAATCCATGGCACACATCAACAGTATTGTTTTCGCGTAAGATATTCCTTCAACTCCAGGAAAAAGGAACGTCATACTGAGATGGGGTGATGGAGCTTTCAACCCCGTTCTCTACGTTATAGCCGTGCCAACTATAATACAGGCAATCTACAACACTGAGCACAAACAAGTGCAGATGAACTTTTAGGCAATAGCAACATTGTCTCACCTGAATATGTAAAACCCCATCGAACTGAAAACATTTTAACTCAATGTCAGCACGAATTTTCAATGGCTGAGGGGTCATTCTTCTTTTGATGTTCTTGATGAGAGCATCTTGTACAGGTTCAGTCATAGCTGGCACTATCTTCGTTACCTGCATCATAGAACCCACACGAGAAACAGCAGCAGTTCAGAACCGGAAACATCTTAGAATGCTGCATGGAAGAATATTTAGCACATAGATCATAAAAAACTGAAAATAAATATTCCATTTCCAACAAACCTCCTTATCACCCTCCATTTCCTTCACTTCTTTCGTGAGTCCATTGAGCACAGAATCAGGATCATTGACTATCAACTTGAAGGCCTGACCATCAATTCAACGAGATAACACGTCATTCAACCTTCAAGGTGCATATTGTAATACTTCGAAAACCTCAAAAATAGAGCTGCATAGTCTAAAGAAGGTTAATTTCATTCCTAATCGTCAGGGAATGAATAGAGAAAAACCGCCACACACACGGTATGCAGACATCTTCGCAAACTTCTTCTAAACATCAACTTGAAAATTCGTCTTTTACTACTAAACAATGATAACAACGATCGCCAAGAGTTTGTGCCCACCTCAAATGCATGACCATACTTCTTGTAGAGCGGCCAGCCCACATGAGTATAAATATCCTGCCACATCAATGAGTCCACGCGATCTTCAAACATTCCATGAGCATTGACAAGTTCACGATACTGAGCACAGCAGCAATAGACGCGGATTTTACTAACAACACAAAAGTATTTCATAGAAACTTGATCGAATAATGAGCATTGCAGGAAAGGCTGGGACCTTCTACTGAACATAAAATTTACCTCCAAATCAGCCTCCAATGTGTCAGCGACATGTCGCATGATCGAATGTACCAACTTGCTCTTATTATAACGCTCCTCGCACCTGGCAATATCCTCCTCAGACACTCTGCGCTTGCTAAGATCTATGTAGCCCTTCTCCTTGTCCACTCTGACGACCATCACAGGCTCCTGGCGTCCGACCTTGATCAAGCTACTTATGCTTCGAATACGTCGACGAGATAGCTCCGACAGGAGAATCATTCCCTCGATGTTATTATATTCAAGTAGTGAAACATACGCACCCATCTCGGCGATGTTTTTCACCTGCAACTCAGAAACGCAACAATTAGGTGTGCAACACAAACCCGACCAACTTCTCCAAGGAACAATTCGCCATGAATCTAAAAACCGCTGCCATCACCTGTCTGATGAACCATTCATTATGTCCTTAAAGGAGTGGGAATCTAGATTGCACCTCTCTTGGATCCATTCTTAAGCAATCTGCATCCCACCATGCTAATAGGGTACTGACTGTTCACATCGAAGTGAGAAACAACGATCAACATCAACGTGGTCACAACACATACAAGGAAACCATAGGGGCTGGAACCACGTGAATCTGGCAAGTGAAGTAAGGATCACAGAGTGCTTGCTCTCACGGAAAATCTCTAGATTCACCACATTCACGATCACGAACACACCATAGCCTCGAAATTCAAGTACTGCCACGATCTCACCACGAATCCACACCCCTTGCCACAAATCCAGACACGACCGGACCTCACTAGAAACCTCAGTATACCAATCACCAAAACTCCAGAGCATCATGCATCAAACCACAAGACGAAACACACTCCAGCTCCGAGCTCAACACAACAATCCACCAAAACAACGAGCAACAACAGCAGATCCACTCACCGACACCATGACGACGTCGTCAACTTCCGGGTAGCGCGCTTCATACATCCGACAGTCACCAGCCGCCATGGCTGCATCAACAATCGAGCTCCGCGTCTGCGTAGATCTAATTCTGCTGATCTTCACACCGAGCTAAGATCAATCAAACAACGAAACTCAACCTCCACACAACCGATGCGAGGATTGGGGGAGCGATATCAACCTGGGAGTGACGATGCAACCCTACCAGGGAAGCTGCGTGAAAGTGTGATGTAGATCGGCATCGATCGAGCTTCGACCTACAATTTTTGTTGAATTCCCCACAAATTTTTGCTTGCGCGAGTTGCACCGACGTCGACGACGACGACGACGAACATTCAACTATCGATTTGGGTTCTGCCACGCCAGCGTGGCTCTCTGGATAGTAGACGTTGAAGCCTTCAATGTTTTCGTCTCAATGGTTGTGATGAAGAATTCCAAACTATTTTTACCCAAAAGTTTGGTGCTGTAGACGGTGCTTGGAACAATTACAAGGCCAGTGTAAAAATAATGTTATTGTTATTCTTATTAACCATAATATTTGATTTCTCAAGTAACTTCTTCATCTTTGGAATTAAACTCACGTAGTAGATGAAACAACGACACAACCAGCAGGTTCTTATTTGTAGTTTTTCACAAAAGCCATCATTGCTGGTAGAAAAAGGTGGGGGCTTTACAAGGAATTTCGGGGGAAGGTTTTGTGAAAATAAATAATTACATGCAGTGTTGTGCTCTGTTCTCATCGGCTGCAGGAGCCTTCAACTGTTCCGTATGGATTTCACATGAGATGGTTGATACATAGGTGTATCATTCACTGTGTTGATGCACGTGCACAAAGGCCACAATTTACTCAGAAGTTGGCAGGACGCTTGATGGTGGCAACTTGTCAGCCAAGCCTTATGAAAAGTTTTTAATAAAAGTTAAACAATAGTACATTTTGGGTAAATCCACCAACATTTTCAGCTCATTCTAAGTGTGCTTCTATACAGAGTTGAAACTTCACTATTAGTAAATTCTTTGTGATTTATTTGATGATAGGTTTTGATCGTGAAATATAAGTGGATAGTTATGTAAATTAAATGTAAATATAAGTACGTAAACATGGGTTCTTCTATTTGATCATGTTAAGATTTTTTTGTTGTTTTGTTTTTTTTGTTTTTTTTAGATGTTCTGTAATTTTTTGTGTGGAACAAGTTCATGAGGAGGAATTTCATGAAGTCATCTGATAAAAAACAAATTGGTAAAATTTAGTCATTTATTGCAAAATAAGATTGATTTGATTTAAAATAATTAATGGATACAAAAACAATTACAGAAGAAATTTAAGATTGTGCATTCATTCACCACTAAACACTAACCTTGAGCTAAGAATCGATTGACTATTCCATTGCATAATTGCAAATAGAACTAAATAAATTCAATAAACTCTATGCAACCATAACATAAAGAGACGCTCTAATTATAAATAACTTTCAAGAAATAAAGAAATAAAGACATAACACACACACACACACAGGAACAAAACCTATAAATAAATCTTCAAAAAGAAACTACAGCATCCAGTTCCACAAGAACGACAAAAACCCAACACATTCTCTCGCATAGAAAAAAGAAAAGAACAGAAAAAGAAACTCCACAAAATTGTTGTGTAGTCACTCTCCAAACAACACAAAAACTCTAAGAGAAGCGCAAACCACGTTCTCACCCAAAACAACAAGACTGAAACACCCACTCAACATTTTCCCAAAGTGCAACATTTCAGACTCTAAACAACGATAACCAAAAATACATTCTTTAACTCTCTAGTGGTGATTGTTGTTGTTGCTGTTGTTTAGTGTGTTCTAACCCTTGACAGAGTAGTTGCAACCTCAGTGGTGTTTGACAAGAGCAAATACCGAGAAACAATGTTGAGAAGCATGTACTGAAGCAGTGTCGTCACAATTTCCTCCATCGTCATCTTCTTCTTCTAGTTCCAGTTCGTTTGCTTTATAATAACTGCAGAGTCTGGGTGCGGCTTTTGCTCACCACCGCCTTCAAACCCAAGCGGAGCTAACGAGGCTGGTTCGAGGAGGAGCCGTCACGAATTCGATCAGCTCCGCGGCTGGCTGGCTGGCTGCAGCAGCAGCAGGAGGAGTGGCTGCATCGCGCCTCCCGTGACCCATCTTTCTGTGCGCCGTTTCAGCCACTGAGCGAGGATTCTGCGGAGCAAATCCCCACCCTCAGGCCCCACCCTCCCTTTGTGGTTGACCTCCACGCCGTGATCGGGCCTTAAAGGTAATTGGGTTTGTTTGCTGTGAGATTTGTGGGTTTTTGCTAGGGGCGGATATTCCCGCCGTGATACTTCAGCTTGCTTTTGCCCTTTTTCCGCTTGTGGCAGCAACTTCCAGTGCGTGCAGTTTACGTGGGTTGGAGTGTATTTGTCGAATCGTCTCTGGGTGTTGGTTTGGGCTTGCATTCGTCTCGGTGGTGTAGTCATTTCGATGTTGTTTCGAGAGAGGGAGAGAATGGAATAGTTAGTGGGCGATGAGGCTCTTCTGTGAAGAGTTCGAGTCATGCGAATGCTGTGTGGAAGCTTAGTGTTGGAGTCTCAATCCAGCTTGTTTTTAGCTGACAGAGATTTTTGTCTTCCCTACCCCTGGATTTAATTTTGAAGAGGTAGTTTGTTGTTGGTGGTGGTGTTGTTGGTGACTTCTGTAGAGATGGAAGAGGCAAATGAGGCAGTTCATGGTGTGGTTGAGGTCAAACCCTCCAATGCATGGAGACCGGATGCGGCCGGCATTTTTTTCTCCCTGCTTCTTGCAATGTGGGGAGTAGTGGTGGCAGTCCTTTTGAAGAATGGAAATACACGCTTGTGGCAAGTATTTGCTGCTTTCGTATTTTTTGAGGGAGTTAACAGGACCCTTGACCTTTATTTGCGTCGGAGATCAGAGATTGTGGGAGGGCTCACTCCCGCCGTCTATGCAGACTTTTTGAATACGTCAGTGTCTCTTGTACATTCTTCCATCATCTCCTTATTAGGTAAGGTAAGCGTTTCTACTCTCATTCCATTTTTCTCAAGATCTTATTTTATTTCATTTTGTCTTTTCTTATCTGTTTTCATAATGTTTTGGATAGGGCATAGGATTGTCATTGTGCTGGCATAGCGATTAGTTGCTGCAAGTGGCCATCTTCTACATAGAGCTATGCACCTAACTACTCGTATACCTGCGCAGTGGTTGGGTTGATGGTGAAGGAAGCAAAAGTGTCAGGATTACCGCACATGCTGTCTCACGACGTTCTTTATAATTGGACATGGCCTGGAGCATACACAGCTTTGGCTATATCCTGTGGTTACTTCACTTATGATCAACTGGATATGATAAGGAAGCATCTTTATAGTCCTAAGGCGCCGCACTTGCTTGTGCATCACGCAGTCCTTCTCACCTGCTTCACCCCTGCTCTTCAATTGGACTCATGTATCAATTACTTAATTCTCAGTCTCATATGCGAGGCAAGTCTTCGATTGGTCCTGCTCGCTGCCAGGAATCAGATAAATTATTTGATCCTTACGTAGGAACATTTGTTTGGCAGCTTGTCCCTTGTCTGATTCATGGAATCAATCCTGCGCCGTGTTAAACCTTAAACCCATGTCTTGAAGCTACAGCTTATCTTGCGAACTGTTTTGTTTCAGGTGCATTCAATATTCCTGCACTTGCGTAAAGTCAAAAAGCTCTCTTCACCGGAGAACGCAAGGAGTGCTGGGGGCGACACAGTTACTTGGGTGTTAAATTGGATCGCGTTCTTTTCGGCCAGACTGTTTGTTCATTTCTGGATAACGGGAAAGCTACTGTGGGACGCTTCTAAATTTCCCCGTGGGTTTGAGTGGCCGTTGGCCTTAACTGGCATGGTAGGTCTCAACGTCCTGAACGTGCTCCTTGGCCAAGGGCTTTATAAAGCGTTGATGAAAGAGAGGGCTTCTTCTCGCCGAAAAGATTAATCGCCATCCTCTATACTTTCATGTCTATGTCATCGGTCATATGTGGAAACGTCACCACAATATGGAAAGAGAAAGTCAAAGCATTCTTAACAGGAATGACACCTCCTGCTTCATTGTTGAATCCACCACGTATCAGGTCAGAGATTTGCACTGTTTTGTGCTGGGGAAAACATGCTTTCGTCTTTTACTTCATACAAGATCCGCCCAGATAGATTGATGGGGGAATGGAATTGAGTGGAAGCGAATTCAAGTCCCTGCTCCAAATAATCTTAGAGAGTTGTTGGAACCTACAGATGCACGGGGATATCTTAACGGTTTTGCTTCTCCTTCCACAGTTGTACTCCACGGAATGAAGAAAGGTCAGGATTGTAAAGATATTATTAGGTGTGATTCCACGGGGTAATTTATGCAACGGATACTTGCACTGAATAGGATCCTAAGGATTTCCATGGTATGAATTGCATGAATGGTCTGGTACAAGTTTCAGATAGGTGAGTTTTGGCTTCTCAGCTGTGACACATGCCATAAGGTCCATGTCAATGTGTTTTAATTAAGTGCCCTAAATATCCGAGAGCAGTAGTGCTGGTGTGTGTGTGTGCGTGTTTTTTTTTTTTTTTTTTTTTTTTTTTTTTCGATGTGGACCGATTGCGGTTTACAATCCGTTTCGTTCGGTTTCTGGCTACAAATGACTTGTGCCGGCATATGAACTCGTAATATTCGAGCGAATCTTGGGACTCTGCTTCGCATACCAATCGAGAGGTAGCTTGAACTTTAGAGCGTTGTTTTTGAATTATTGAAAGATGATAGAAATTCTGCTGTTGTTCTAGTAGGTTGACCAGGTCTTTCCTCGATTTTAGTGGTGTTCCCACCTTCGTGTTTTCCTTGGTCTTAGAGGGGGTAACATTTTTTCAGTCACCTTCACCTAGGGTTCACAATCGGACCAGGCCTGGATTTTGTACACCGGGAAATGCTGAGAAAAGGAAAGAATTACTCCACTATGCTCCTTGTGTCAACACTCGGGTACCTGCTCTTCGACTTCTAGAAATCCGACACTTTTCGCAATCGACCACCTCTATTGGCTGGGAATGCAGTCAAACAAGGAAATAGCGTGCTTTGTCATCTGCTTCAATAGTCGGTAACACGTAACTGGACGAAAGTCGTTAATGCTTGTGCTAGCGCACTGGGGTAACAGCCAAGAACACATTTTGTGTGTCAGCGCAGAATCCATCTATCCTGACTGGTCAGCTTATCGTGTATGTTCACCTCAAAACCACACTTAACTTCTTACATCCTTCTCCACTACATCAGGTCAAACACACGTTCTTAGTTAATTTACACATGTCCATCACGCATCCTGGTTCCAAAAAGCACGAATCGCTTATTTTACTGAGCTTTAACTTTACGATCCTACTCAAATAACCGACCCGTTCTGCTCGCGATGCATGCAGGGCAGAGTTCAAGTCACAGTCCCGGAGAGGCGTAAATGGGGAACACGTCTGGGTCTAAACATGATCCTGCGTTTATTGATCCCTAGAGAGCCTGAAGTGAGGCAAGTGACGTGCACTCCCGCACTCCGTGTGTGCACCCCCACCCACCTGCAGATAATGTTTCGTTCCACGTCAATGTTGCAGTTGGCACGCCTGCCTGACTATGACCGGCCCTTTTCCAATCAGTGAGACCTTAGGGGAACGCGTGTAGCCTGACAGCTTCAAACAGCAGCAGCAGCAGGAGTCAATGAAGCTGTGAAAAACTGCATCAGCTTCAACGCCACAATGACTGCAAGCAGTACTCGCCGTGACGTTACCAGCAGGTGGTGAAGCACCACAGCTCCATAGCAAACTATGGGCTCCCTCAAGAGAGCAAAGGCTTCATGGGTACATTTCTTTTTTCCAGTAGGCGAAGCTGCAATGAACCCACCGAACCACACATTCTTGTGTCAGTGAATGCGAGAGATGGATTATTTGACAAGGATTTGCTCATCAGCACATCAGCGTGAACGCAACACTTGCTGGAGACACCATGAGCATTGTCAATATTGTGCAGTGTTGAGCTTCATAGCTCCCTCTATGATCTTGGGTTGTGTGAAGAGGGCGTGGTTTGGAAAGTTAACTATCTTTATTTATTTGTTACATAACATTTGTGGGGTCTGGTAGTATCATATTTTAGTGCCACTTTTTCAGGCAAAGATGGGGTTTTGGTGCCACTTTTCAGTGCCACTTTTTACTTTTTAAAATTTATTTTACACGTGAAATATTTTCTACACAAAGTAGTATCATTTTGAAAAACAAACATTAAACGAAGTATTTATTTTCAGACTCAAAATTGATTTTTTTTAAAATGCAAAAGTAGCGAGAACACTATTATAGGTCCTTTGAAGTAAGAAAGCAATGATGGTATTGGAAAAGAATGCTTTCTGTACGATTATTTATCTTTGGTTTTGACATTGTGTATTTAATATGATAAATAGATTCCATTTTTGTCATGCCATTTTTGTTCATAAAACAATGGGACAAGTTAAAGAGAATTATCAACGCGGATCTCCTTTTCAGATCCAAGCAATTCAAATTCTTTTGACTGTCTCCACATCGACTTTACAACTATAACCTTGTAACCTGTCAGAGGATGGCAAGTAGCACCACCAAATAAGTTGGCAGCTCAAAATCCCAGCTCTAAAAACCCCATCTTTGTGTGTCATATTGGTCATTTGGTCTACAAGTCTTCAAAGACTTTTCACTTGTATTATATGACATCCAAGTCTTTGCAAACCTTTTCAAAACAGAGATATGATAGTTTAATGATTAAAAGTCAGAATAAAGCTTGGCGTTGAGATCAGGACCCACACTGCAACTCAAATTGCAGTGAAGGTTTTCTGTGATGGGGTTGATTGCTTCGAAGGGACAAGAGAGTCACTACTCTATTACTTATTTTCGCGGACATGGTAGTACCACAGAGCTGTCGTTTGTATCATTAAGTGGTTGGTGGTAGTGGTGCCCGTCCCGTAATAGTTTGCCAGTTCCAATCGTGGTTGGTTCAATGTCTTCTTTCTCTTTCGAAACACAAAAAAGAAAGAAAGAAAAAATGTATATATATACATGCATGTGCATTATTGAAACATATATTTTTTGGAAAGTATTGGAGCATTGATGGGAAGGATCATATGTGTAGACGCAAGTCAAAAGAGAAGCAGAGAGACGAAGCATGAAGGTCTTCATAAGGTGAGTTACCCACAAGCAGAGTAGCCCATAATTGTCAACTGTTAAAACATGATCTCCGAGAGTTTGCGCTGTGTAAGTGACTGACACCTGCCCAAGCCCACTGTCGCATGAACTTTAGAGATGATTCAACCCCAAGGGGGGTTCGTAATAATCCGACCCACGTTTTCAACCTGCGAGAGTTTCTCCACCTCTGGAAGTTCACCAGAACCGTCAGAACGTCGACATCCTTACTTGTGTGGGCGCGTTGCCGACTCTGCAGCAACGACCCACCTGTGTTGTTGTTTTTTATGTCAATTTCAAGCGGTTACGGGTGGGGAAAACTTCGCAGGCCGTCTTCTTCTTCACCCTGATTGATTCGGCATGAGTTGATCAATTAATTGTCTGTGAAAGTCCATCAACTCTTGGATTCAGATGGTCCTGACAACAATGGACCGCGATGCCGAACTCTTGTCATTGAGCTGACCAAACCTTCCCCTGGCCTCGGTCAGTCCGCCACCGATTGCTTAACCCCATTCATGGCTGTTCCCTTTGGTTCCCTTGGATCGTTCCCTTTGGTTCCCTGAGGATGTTCACACTTCGTTCCTGACTCTAAGCCTGTGACATCAGACGATTGATCAAATGTGTATTTACTAGCCGACATTGGAAATAAATGTTTTTTTTCTCTCCGGACAGTGTGAATGTCATGAGAAAGTAAAAAAATACTCAAATTGGTAGTACAATTTGTTTCTGTGATTTGTTGAATATTGCATTTGGTGTAACACATGGAAGTACAGAGTTGTTTCAATTGAGTGTGGCTTTTTTAATATTTGTGTTATCATGAATAATGTTTATAATGAAACACACTGTAACAGAATGAGACTTTATTCGACCTCATGGCTTTGTCTTGCAAGTAAAGATGAAAAAGTTTCGACCCATTAAAAAGAAGGTGGAGATTGAAGTAAATCAAGTGGATGTAGATGTGAAGTCAATGTCCACAATATATATAAATATTAAATGAAATATTATTTATATGTTGTGCCTAAGAATTCTCAATTAACTTTTTATTTTTCTAATTATTCCTCATATTTTTATTTCTAATTATTTTTTCTTTTTTCTTTTTTTGTAATAAAAAGAATAAATCTTGTGCAAAGGCACATTAATTGTAGTTGAGATTTTATTTTTAAAATACAAACTATCAACCTCAATAGTACTTTTTTGCAATTCTTATATGGGAGATGCCATCATTTGATAGTTTCAAGTTATTTTGGACTTCAAAATCACAAATTTAGGTATATATTATAATAAATTAAAAAGTTGCTAAGTTTATGCATATATAATTTTAATAAAATAAGGATAATTGTTTTATTAATAAATTTGTAGTTTTCAAGGATATAATAAAAAAATTATTTTACAAATTAAACCATATCATTTAGTGTGTTTTTATCAAGGACATAAATCTCAAAGAAAGAAAGTCTCAAAACACTCTTGTGTTACTTGAAAAGACTAAAAAATCACTTAAAGTTGGTAATATGTTAAATTGGAAGGGCTATTGCCAAAGACAAAAAGAATATAAAGTCTTGAAACAAGACTAAGGACTAAAAAGGCATTGATAAGAATGAAGAAGGCTTCACTCTTGCCTCTATGTATACTATCTAACTAAGAGCTACGTAGCCATGTTTTATATGACCTCCAACACGTATTGACTTTGGTAGAGACATATTTTAACTTGCAAGGCAAGTTTTTTATATGTGTTCCACATAGTTAGCTTGTTCCATAAGCTACCAATACATATGGCATATGGTTAATTTGTTGACCAAGTTTTTAATCTACTAATCAACTATAAATATATGTAAAGTCAAAATCATGTCTGAAGCTTCTAAGAAGCTTTTTTAGAAGATATTATGAAATTAATATATATTTATTTACTTCTACATAATCATATAGGTAATTATTAAAATAAATATGTATGTTCGTGACATTATCTCTCATTTTAGAGATAAGTTCTATAAGAAGCGATCATCATCTTTTACAGATCTTACTATTTTTCATCTTAGTTTTGATGGATGTCATCAATGAAAAACCTCAACCTTCTATACTATATTTGCAAGATTCTTTGCTAGCTCCCATATCATTTATTAATGTCATATTATTATATGTAGTTCAAATAAATAATTTGTTAAATCTTTTGCCATAGAATTATTAATTTTTGAAAAATCAAAAATATCAGGTCATAAATGAGAACCAAAATTAAAAAAAAAAAAAAATGTTTTTTGAATAGAATAATATATGAAATTATTGTATGCAAACTCTAACAATAACAAAAGAGATGTTCAATCTTCTTGTTGATAATTGATGCTATATTTCAAATAT